CGGATTGAACGGGTTTTAGGCATTGATGGAGATCTTGGGATTCCACAATTGGGATCCTTAACGATCATATAATATTAAGAGATGCACAGTCGTACACAAAATCTTCTTTTAAAAGAATTTACGTTATCGACAAATAGCCGAACTAGTTTTTAGTTTGATGTGAAAAGTGTCAATTTGGTACACTGAAAACCTTTGTTAAAGGATGAAGAAGATATCTATGTTTTGTCATAAAAATCTGATTTCTTTCCTATGTGGGTTTCTTGCTTCAGAAACAATGGAGAAATGAATTATTTAAACACTTATCAAACTATTTTAATTAATTAATTAAATTTTTTTTTTAAAAAGGGTTATTATTTTAGAGCGGAGATGTTCACAAGGGGACTTACATAAACAAAGGAGAGGACAGAGTGTAAGTACAACTTTGTAACAGTACATATTTTTGTACTTTCAGTGGTTTACTCCTTGTATGTCCATATACTACTTGAACCTGTATTTTATTTTTGACCGGATCTAGCCTTTTATTGAGATGGACAATTATTTTTTAAAAGCATGGCTTTAAATATTATTTTTTGTTAATAATTAATTTTGTTACAAATTTTGTTCTTCATAATGTTAGAAAAACTGATATAGGTATGGAAAATAAATGAAAACGCTGAGTAAAAGATATATAAAAAGGATTACAACTTGCCAGTTAATGTCCAATTTTTAAAGATTTTCCTCCAAAATCTTTGAAAATATTTGTTTCCTGTGTTTAGATGTATGAGGAGTAGTTTGACTGGATTAGCTGAACTCGGAGTTGTTGTATATGATGCTCTAGACTACAATCTAGGAGAGGTAAAAATAAGAAATAAAATTTTACGACGTAATTAAAATTTAAAAAAGGTAAAAAGTATTTTGCATCTTACTCTAACTTTTAAAAGCATACTGTGATAACCAAAAAACTCTGGAATAGGAAGTCGACTTTTAGACTCAAGTTATGACTTTAAATCGTCTATGAACGTGAGACACAGCAATCGTGCAGTGTAAACAGACCTAATTCACTTTAAAAGTAATATAATGACTTAATCGTAAAGTTTTTTGCTTTGTTTCAGCATCAAAATGTACTTTATTACTGCTATAATGTCGTCTTTCTATTCTATTGTTTTCTGGTTATCACTGTAAACTAAAAAAAATTATATTTTTGAACAAAATGGGTGGTAGACTGGTAGTGTTTTCCAAGATAAATATATGTAACTGATAAAAAATGCAGAACTTAAGTTCCCAAATATCTAGACAGTAGACATTCAATCCTCAGTTCACAAGTTAGTGTCTTGAACAGTCCCTTACACTCAGTGCTTAGGATCCGCTAGATTTTAGCCTTTTTGATCCGGATCCAAAGGGCAAAATATTAACCAAAAACTACAAAAAAATTGTTTACTCTCAAACCCCTAATTTGAACTATTGAAAAAAGAGAGAATACATAAAATTTCCTAATTTCTGAATGCTTAATAAAGTTTTGCATATAAATAAGCGAAAAAATAAGACAAATAATTTGAAAATTCTGCCATGGTAAAAAACAGTAAATTTTAAAGAAATAACCTGGATTCGGATCCATTTTTTTCCAGATCGGATCCAGGTTCCGGATCCGCATCAAAATTAAATGGATCCTAAGCACTGCCAAACTATACCCCTGACTCTTGAACAGTCCCTTTACCTGGCTGTTGTAGAACAATGAGAGGAGCCTGTCCCTTGAGCTGGAGAATATCCTGGATAAGATCACGTCAGCTGACGAGGGACATGAAGGTCAGTTTTAAAGGGAGAGTTCAAGGTTTTCGAAGTTGATAAATAGTTTTTTTTTAATTATAAAAACCAAATGTCCAGCACTGAACATTTTGTTCGTAACATTGTAACATTCAAGTCTTGGTGAATTGGAAGCCCTCCCTCCACCTTCCTCATCTCGTATTTCTTGGCAACCTAAAGTGATTGTCAGTGTCTATTTACTTAACCAAACCTGACCTGGAATAATAAAATCACGCAAGGTTTCCAAGAAATATTATGAGGGGGTGGAGGTCTAAACACCACAACGTTCTGAGTAATACTGACCTAAAATGTTTCTAATTTTTAAAATGCTTCTTGTTTTAAATATTACGCACAATATGTTAGGGTTCCTTCTTACAGTGCAATTTGGCTGTTTTTAAATCTGTTCTTAAAATGAAAGAGAATCCAGGTCAACATGGAAATAGCACCTTTATAGGGTTTAATACTTTCTGTCATGTTTAGGAATGTGTAGGTAGAGGGCTTTATAAAAGGATAGATAAAGGGCTATGTAAAGAACTAGATGTTAAAGAACAAGAAAATTAAGGACGATGATATCAAGGACTAGAGACGGGGCTATATATTAGCCTAGATTAAGGACTAGAGACGGTACTCGATAATGGGCTAAAGACGGGGGTAAATAATGGGCTAGATTAAGGGCTTGAGACGGGGCTAGATCAATGGCTAGAGACTGGGCTAGATAGAGGGATAGATAAAGGGCTAGATAGAGGGCTAGATAAAGGGCTAGATGAAGAGCTAGATAAAGGACTAGATAAAGGACTGGATAAAGGGCTAGAGAAAGGGCTAGATAGAGGGCTAGATATAGGATTAGATGAAGGGCTAGATAAAGGACTAGATAAAGGGCTAGATAAAGGACTAGATAAAGGGCTAGATAAAGGGCTAGATGAAGAGCTAGATAAAGGACTAGATAAAGGACTGGATAAAGGGCTATAGACAGGGATAGAGAAAGGGCTAGATAAAGGGCTAGATAAAGGATTAGATGAAGGGCTAGATAAAGGGCTAGATAGAGGGCTAGAGAGAGTGCTTGAGACGGAGCTAGATAAAGAGCTAGAGTCAGAGGGTTAGATGAACGATTATATTAAGGTCTAGTTAATGGGCTAGATAAAGGCTAGATAAAGGCTTGATAAAGGGTTAGATAAAGGGCTAGATAGAGGGATAGATAAAGGCTTGATAATAACACTAATCTAGATGACGTTGTAGGAGAGAATGAAGGACTAGATGAAGGGTTTAGTGATTTCTATAATCTAGATGAAGTTGAAGGCGAAGATGAAGGGCTAGATGAAGGGTTTGACACTGATCACCTTGGCACTGAACTAATCCATGGTATTCTAAAACAGTGTCGCCATCATCTAGCTGTAGAACAAGAAGCAGAAGAACATTATAGAGGGGTGTGCAGGTCAGAACTTTCATACAAAGAGTTGCATGCCCGGATTCACAATGGTACCCTTTTAACTTTGGTCTAAGCAAAAATCAGAAATTTTAATGTAGAAAAAGCAATCTTCAGATACTGACTCATTCTTGTGTAACATATTCCTGAGTAGCTTATACCAAAAAAACTTATTCCCAAGTAGCTTATTCCTAAGTAAATAATTAAAAAGAAACTTATTCCCAAGTAGCTTATTCCTAAGTAACTTATTCCTGAGTAAATAATTAAATAGAAACTTATTCCCAAGTAGCTTATTTCCAAATAGCTTAATCCCAAGTGACTTTTTCCAAAGTAACTAATTCCCAAGTGACTTATTCCTGAGTAATTAATCTGCTTATTTAATGGTAACTTATCCCCAATGATGTAGTCCCAAGTGACTAATTTGATAAAAAAAAAAGTGTTAAAATAACTTTAAAAATATTGTGATTTTAGGGCGCTAGTTAATGAGGCTTTGGAGAGGAGTACCTTCATGTGTCAAGTAACACAGGAGGAGTTGCAGAAGCTGGATATGGGGGATTGGGAGAACTTGTGGACATCTGTAATGTCACAGCTCAGAACAGGAGTTAGACTTAAGAAGGTGATTTTATGCTTAAGAAACGGCTAAACCAATTGTTTTTGGGACCTGACATGGCCCTGATAGAATGTTTTTGGGTGAATGCAAAATTCTGTAAAGACGCTTTAAACATCGATTTGTGATTTGTTTAGGTTGATTACAGCAGAACTCCTTGTTTAGGTTGATTACAGCAGAACTCCTGTTTAGGTTGATTACAGCAGAACTCCTTGTTTAGGTTGATTACAGCAGAACTCCTGTTTAGGTTGATTACAGCGGAACTCCTTGTTTAGGTTGATTACAGCAGAACTCCTTGTTTAGGTTGATTACAGCAGAACTCCTGTNGGGGGGGAGTCGTTCAATAGATAACGCAATGTGGTGCACTAACCATCACACCATGCTAACTTTAATAACGAAACATTGAATCATATTTATTTAAAGGGACTGTCCAAGTTATTTCAACTGACTTTATATTAAAGATATTCATTCCCAATTCACATTAGTGTTCTTTAACAAAATAATATTTTTGTTTTTCTCTTAAGATTTTTTTAACTTTCAGTTGTGGGTTCTCTATAACAATTACTAACAGATATATGTAGACGGTTTGCCCAAGCTTTCTTTCGGATCTCTTAAGTGGTAGAGAAATAGAAGGAAACTGACAGAATTAAAAACGACATGTTTCTAAGATAAAGGTTTAAATGGTTCTGTTGTGAATTGGGCACTTTTTTGACTGTTTTATCTAATGTTAAAAGTTTTACAAAAATTCAAATAAAAATATTATTGAAAAATACAAAAAAAAATTATCTTAAATTCACCGATGTCGGTAAAGGGTCGGAATATCTCTTTCCTTGGTATTTTCCTGACCATGTTGGATACATTAGACATTGTGTTAATTTCATTTACTTATTTTTCCCTCCGTTATTTTTATATCCCCAGTCCTAGGTCTAGATTTCATTGGAATAATGGTTGACCTGATTATTGTAATTAATAATCATTAATATTACTATTATTAAGACTACTATCATAGTATTATTATTATTATTATTATTTTGTCCGACCAGTTTATTTTTAGAAAGAAAAAGTATAAGTTGGTTTCTGTTCAGGACTCAACTACAGCGGGGTAAATAATGTACATAATGTACTGCACAGTTGTACATTATGTAATGCACAGCTGTACATCATGTACTGCACTGCTGTTCATAATGTACTATACAGCTGTTCATAATGAGGTGCGGAATCAACTGTACATTGTACTGCACATTTGTACATAATGAACTGTGAAACTGTACATAATGTACTGCACAGTTGTACATGATGTACTGTACGTACAGCTGTACATGATTTACTGTACGTTCAGCTGTACAGACAAATTCTTGTCTTTTCAATTTTTTTTTAAGGGTTTATTTATCTTTCAAATGATCATAGTCGTATTTCGTATGAGGGGGGGTTAAACTTTTCATATTTTATAAATTTAACCTTTTTTTAAATTTTCATTTAAGCCAGATAACGACATTCAAAATCATTGAATTGACAAAATTTAGTCTGTCCAAGCGTATCATTTTTTTTGAAAACTTTTTATTTTTTTAAAATTTATTTTGAAATGTGTAAGATATGAGTCTACATCTATCTCTTCAGTTTAGGTTTAATTTAATGTCTTTCCTTCTTCCTTGTATACAACTTTTTAACTAAAATGAAATGTTCCCTTTTATAAGGGATGAAGTCATAATTTCAACTTATCATCCCTCTTTAGAGTAGAATAAATACACATTTGTTAAGAAAAATGTTTATAATTTACTCATTATCTCTCTAGTCTAAATCTGCAAATCACTTTTAAAAGAACCTGAATTGAAAATAATCAATTATTATAAAAAAAAAAATAGGTTATCACTTTCATCTGAATCAAACAAAGGATGCCATTCTTTCGATAGAGGGTCACTTAGAATTACGTCAAGTTTAAACTTATCTTTCTTTTGGATGGATTTTTTTAAAATTCAGTTAAAAGATCATTTTTTAAGGATATATTTATCATAACCGTTTTTTTTTTCTTACTTCTTTCTACTCCCTTGTTTCCTCAGAGCATATGAATATCAATTTGATACTGAAATTATGAAAAATAAAGATTTTCAAAATCAATCAATTAATTGCGCCCAGTACAGTTGTCTATCAAAATTAATCAATTAACTTTGTTCAGTACTGTTTCCTATCAAAGTCAATCAATTAATTATGTTCAGTACTGTTTTCTATCAAAATCAATCAATTTATTGCGCTCAGTACTGTTTTCTATCAAAATCAATCAATTAATTGTGCTCAGTACTGTTTTCTATCAAAAACAATCAATTAATTGTTCTCAGTTCTGTTTCCTATCAAAATCTACAATTTAATATTATTCATAATTATAATGCTTGAATTGAAGCCATTTTTTTATTAAAACAAAGTGATTGGTGTCCTGTATAGTTTTTAGAAGGTTTTTTCCCTAATGATATATGAACTTTTAAAAATTTTCTAATTTCATCATTGCAGTTTACTGATGATTGCATATAATTTTTGATTCTCACTGATTATTTATGATCACCAATGATTATTATTATCAATAGTTTTGTTCATGATCATTTATTTTCTTGCATTATCATAATGATCTTTTATGAAAATTGCTGATCGGTAATGATTGTTGCTGATAATTGATGATCATTAGTGATCATTGATTTGTTTTGTAATTAACATATAAGATTGATTTCTAGGAGTAAACGATATAAACTGAACCACGTGGAAATACCTGAACGATTAAAGAAGGATGCGAGGGAGGTCATTCTAGACTTTATCCGTTCGAGACCTCCACTTAGGTAAGCTCAGATACTTTTCCCCAAAACTCATTTATTTTCCCAATTTAGCAAGATATAAAACAAAACTATTATTCTGAAGAAACAGAAAACATATGCCCATGTTAATTATTTAAGAAACAAAATCAAACTCAGTTTTGTTTTTGTTTTTTGTGAATTATTGTTCATTGTTCAGGCCTGCGAGTGCTAGGCAGTTGAAACCTCTCAGGAAGGAAAGTACCCCTGGAGAACTACTGATGCAGGTACACCTTCTTATAGTGAGGAGGGGAACTCTAGGTTAAAAAACATTTAAAATTTATATAAATTGAAAGTTAACTTACAATGTGTATTTGTCCGGAGGTTGGTAGCCTTTAGACCTTTTAGAACGCACCGCAGTCTTGGGTACGAGAACTAAAAACGAGCTTTTTATAGTTTAGTTGAGGTTTTCATGTGTCTTTTCAAGTATCCTTTTTCAAGTAATAACTTTCTCACTTTCTTCCCAAAACTCTCTTCGGACAGATGGGTGACTGTTTTATTTATTTATTTATTTATTGATCACAAGGATCGTAATCTAGATTAGTACCTGTATTTGATCTAGAGGAGGAGTATTAGATCAGGGATACAGTATCAGGATGTAGCAAATCCTGTTCAGGGTCCTTCCGTCGGAGGTATCAGAGAGGAGCAGGACAACCAAGTCAGGGTCGTCAGAGATCTGGAGGTGTCTCTAGGATACTATCAGAGGAAGTATAGAACTCAAACCGAGTTTCCGGAGATGAAGGAGCAACTCAGCTTCCGTCGGCGTCGGATTCTTGACAACGTAGGTCTTAAATAGAATTTGTTAGACGGAGTTCAGAAGCTCAAAGTTTAAGAGCTTTTATTCCTCACCTTTATGTTGACTTGTCCCAGACTCAGGGGTCAGGATTAGTTGGTGAGAGGAGAAGAGATTATCTTCATCTTAGAATTCAAGCATACCGGGAAGATTAACTGCATGCTGCTGAGGGTGTGGAACTCATCCGCGAGTCAGCGGAGAGGATACAAACATAGAAAACAACTGAAACTTAACGCAAGCCAAGCATGAGAATTATGTTGAAGTGGTTGTGAGATTTTAGGATATTATTCAAGCTCAACTTTGAATGTTCACAATTAATCACCTGGTTCAGTGCGTGGAGACATGCACGGAACTTGGAGGAATTACAATTATAACAACAAATCTATACATATTACATAAACCATCCGTTAGAAAAGAATCAAGCAACATAGTGTAAAAGTTTCCGTGTGAATATTTATTTAACGGATGATTTATAAACCTGGAGAAAGAGACACAAATTCAAGTTAGAAAGGAGCAACTAACCCATCGTGTTCTGAAAGATAAGGCTCATTATTTAAAAAGACTTTTGGCATTTATAAAACTTATTTACAGTTATTTAAAAACATTTATCCATTCATAAGATTAAACTCAAGTTCAAGATTATAAAATAGGTTTTTAAAATAGTTTACATTAAAATCTTAGGTTAATAATTTGAACGTTTCAAGAATAATTGTAGGTTCGATGTATTTGTAGAGATTTGTTGTAGTAGTAGAGTGAAGCTAGAATTTCTCTGTTGAACGAGTAGGGGTGTTTGTCGACGTTGAACACCCTGAACACAAAATAGTCATAAAAAATCCTCAGATCTTGCAAGTTCTTTATGCAAAATTATAAAAAACTAAAAAAAGTTCTTTTTGCAATTGTTCTTAAAAAAATATTTGATATGCAAAATTTTAAATCCGAATGTTAATGTTAATTCGGTAATTCTATTTAATTTTAAATAAACTGATTTTTTTCGCTAGGTTTCAAAAGTTACAAAAGAAAACTAAAAAATTAATTAATCAATTTTATTATCTTAGGATATTCGGAGTTGTAAAGCTAGACAATCTTTAAGAAGAACCAACATGCCAAAACCAATCAGGTTTTTATTTTTATTTTTAATTAGATTTTCTGTTAACTAGGCTTTAATTTGTTAATATTGCGGGATATTATGTTTTTATTGTTCCCTTGGGACAACTGGTGTACTGTAGATACTATAAAACGTCCTGAGCTGAAAACTTCAGAATAAGATATCCTTAATCCCGACTACTTAACTGTGTATCCAATGGACACACTTTTGATATTCTTATTAACCCACTTTTTCTTGGATATAGCAGAGAAAAATCAAAAACCTTTTTTTAAATTAGATATTCCCACCCGTTTCTGTATGTTAACCTTAAATGGCGCGCAAAATTTCAACTTTATCGGCTTCTTATACGCGACTCTGATTGGTTGAATTTTATACACTTTTCAGGATACAAGTACAAGATTAGGTTAGTCTCGATATTAAGAAAAAGAGAGGTTCAAGCATAAATCTCGATATCCACCATTCTGAAGTTTTTTAGCTCTGTCAAGATTTCGTGAAAGATAAAGTTTAAATTTTTTACCAAAGCTTTATAAAATTGTGTATTTCTACTGTTCACTGTATTTCAGTTTGTCTCGATTTATTTTGCCTGAAAAACCTTCCTTGCCACTTCCTTGGACTTCATTTTGTTTCTTTAACATTTTATAGCTCCATTTTACAATCTCAATTTTTTTTATAAAACTATTGTGTACTTTATCATTCTTACTCATTTCATCGTGAATTTCATAATGAACGTGCTATCATTGTGCTATAAAGTTAAATTAGATGTACATTTGCTAGGTTCCCAGATTTTCTCCAAAAAAAATAGGATATTTCAAAAATAATATTTTTTAATTGAAATGAAAATAAAATTGAAATCAACTTTATATTTTGATTTCTGCTTTGTTTCAAAGCTTATTTGATTTAAAAGAGTCATTGAAATAAGATAAGTACACAAAAGTTTCATAAAATTACATATAACACTATTATTTTTGGCACGACCTTTAAACATTGAAATAAGATAAGTACACAAAAGTTTCATAAAATTACATATAACACTATTATTTTTGGCACGACCTTGAAAGTTTTTGGACATAAATTTTCTCTAAATTTCGAAGATTCTCGCCATTTTAAATTATTAAAATATAAAATTAAATCTAAACAGCCAGCCCAAAAACTTTATAACACTGCGAACCAAAATAACAGTGTTGTATATATTTACTATATTTTGTATATTTTTTACCATCAAATCATTATTTATCTTTTAAATTAATTTAAATTTTTTATTTCAGATCTCAATTTGAGGAGAAGTCCCGAACACGATTAGATGGAAAATTAGATAATCTTTCCCCTGGTGATAAGGTAAATCTTTTTCTATTTCTATCTATTCATCTTTCTAAACCATTTGCATATGTATTTATCTATTGATGCCGGATGATAGTTTTTATCTATATATCTTTAATTCTATCTTTTCATATCTCTAAATTTGTTTTATAAAAAGAAAACAGAATCCGAAAGAAAATTAAGAAATGTGCATTTCTTAATGATTATAAAATTTTTTTAAATGATATGTTAGTTCCATTAATGCGTACTCAGCAGTATTCTAACTTCCTCGGTGTCTGAACTATATGTCTATCCATATTTTTTACTTTTGGTTTCTCTTGGTCGTCTATAGCTTTCTGTCTAGCAATTTATCTACCTTTCTATCTATCTATTCATAATCTCATTTATTTAATTCTTGATATATAAGTATATCAATCTGTCTGCCTGCACATACTCTTATCTATCTATCTATCTATCTATCTAACTATATTTATTTATAATCTTACCTATTAAAGTATGATATATGTTTATATATCTACTTATCTGATCAATTTAGAATCTCATCTATCAAACTCTTGATATGTCAGTATATCTATCTATCTATTTATGTCTATTCATAATCTCATCTATCGAGCCAGAGGCTTATTTAGGGGGGTGGGTCTATGAGGCTTCGCCCCCCCCCCATTGAACCAGTGAAAGGCCACAACGGCCCGGGTGCCTTATGCTTGTCCCCCCCCCCCTGGAAAGAAGAAAAAATTAAGCCCTCCTCCCTGGACAAATTCCTGACTACGCCCCTGTATTTAACTCTTAATATGTCAATTGTCATTATATCTATCTATCTATCTCTTTATCTATAAAGGTGAATAAGAAGGTGATAGACCTGGACGAAAGTATGCTCAAGAATATGCTGGACTTCGAGACAGAGGAAAACTCGTCCAACACGTCACAGGTTCGAGTTCAAGCCAGACAAACGAAGATAATTTCCACAATAAAAGGTTTAAAGGGTATCGTTGTGCACCAAACGTGCTACTTGATAAATGTTGGGTCATTACTTCGAAATTTCTTCGTAAGTTCCTTAATTATTTTGATAAATTATTTTAGGAAGCTGTATTCCTGGACGAAAGTGTTGTTACCCCTGACACAACTCCAGTCTCCACATCAAGGAAAAAGTCGACAGGGCGACGAAACTCCCTAAATAAGTCGACAGACCGACGAGGGTCTTTAGTTAAGTCGAATTGGAGAAAGTCTGTTTCTGTGATGGAAAGTCCAACTAGCCAGGTAATTTATATTATTAATATTAAGCCTTTTAAGATTCAAATTTTTAAAGAGAATTAATATTCTAAATAAAATTGGGTCAAGCTATATTAAATTGACAAATCTTAAAAGAATTGTATTTCAATATTTATGCTGAGTTTTGGTTAAGAAAATAGTGAATTTGCGAATTTACAACTTCGAAAACACAAATTAGATTTGATTTCTGAACTGAAAAGTTTGTGTTTCAAAACTATATATATTTAACAGTTTTTAAAAGCTGAAAAGGTTTGATTTTTATGTAAATTTGAATTATATATATTATTTAAGAAGTAGAAAAATCTTAATAAAGTTTGGTTAAAATTAAAATAAACATAATATATCTCTTCATTCAACAAGGATAGTATAAATTTATAAAGGAATATTATATTGACTTATATTGACTTGTCCGAAAGCATGTTTTTGGACCCAGCAAGGTCTTGGGAACCCTCGGCTATGTAATATTCCCTCCTTTATTCATTGCATCCCTATTCCTTCTGTAAAGTAGAGATAAATAGTGATTGAATACATCAACGCGATATTTTAGTTTGAGCGCCTTGTATTGATTAAATATTGAAGTTTTATCTCTTTACACAATATCAAAGCATTTTTTCTTAATCATCTTTTCTCGTTTGATTTTTACTAATATATTGTTACCGTAGAGCACTGACCTAAGTACACCTATTCTCTCTCCACTCACGAGGAAGAAAGACGACATTCATGAATATTTATCCAGGTAAACATTGATTGATTGATTTTGGTGCTCACTTTTTTGTGTGCACCGTACTAATATATTTATTGGATTGATAGATTGATTGTTATAGTACTGTGCTGGGGAGTAAGGATTGGGATTTTTTAAAAAAGATTGTTTTCGGGTGGATTGATTCGATTTGATTTGATTTGATTGATTGATTGATTGATTGATTGATTGATTGATTGATTGATTGATTGATTGATTGATGTTATAGTACTGTGCTGGGGAGTAAGGATTGGGATTTTGTGAAAAATCTTCATTCCTTGGATCTAACAATTGAGGAACTAGCACATATAAGGTAGGCTGGGACAGCGGAGTTAGCACCTACAGAAATTATTAAGAAAAAAGTTGTCGTCTTCACTTGGTTTTAGGAATTCACTTACGATGAACTGTGATTTAATGGCAAGTTTCCTTCCATGTAAAATCCACAGCGGTAGCCCTTAGATCTATAATATGATTAACAATTTGGAAGATATCATCGTTTTTCTATCTTAAAGTGTTGAATTCTCGCAATTTCCTTTATTATCTCTGTGGCATAAATCCGTAGGTCATTTTTAATTGAATATAGATACGGAAAAATGATCAGACAACAGTTTATAATGTACTGTTGTGAATCGGACATGCCAGTATATGAATTGGGGATCACTTTAAACTACGTCCACAGTCCCTTTATTAAGTTAAGGAATAGGGTTATTTGTTCACTTATTTTTTATTTCATTTTTTATTTATTTATTTTTTATTTATTTTTATTTTATTCTTTATTTTATTTACTTTTTTTGTTTCGTTTTAGAGCACAGCTTACAAAAGCAGAGTTGGAAGAGAAAAATATGGGAGAGGAGAAAAAACGAGATTTAGGAATATTTCTTTTTAAGTTTCTTTTATTAATTTTAGATTTTTTTTATTATGTTTAATGTAATCTTTTTACTTTTACTACCCAATCATCTTCAGTTTGAAGTTTTTTATGTGCATTTTATTTTTTAATGAAAATATTAATATATAATTTTTGTATTTAAATATGTTGTGTAGTTTTCGGATTACTTAAAATATTGAATAAGAAAAAATTCTTATGATTAAAAAAAATAGCTATTCAACTGCTTTTCTGTCCTTAAAATTTTTTTTTTTAAATTTCCACGGGCAACGCCGGGCACTTCAGCTAGTTGTTCTATAAAAAGATGATATTTCCAGAGAAAGGGCGTCTTTGTTTTGTGTGTGAAGTAGTAAAGTTTGGAGTATTCAATTGGGCGAGTTATTGTATCATTTGTAACAAATATGTAAGTAAATATTTCATAACAGTTCTGGTTCGTACATATCATTTTTATATTAAACACGAAACTCGATAAAATTTCAAAATCAGAAAATGTTTTTTTATGAGTGACGCCTTTGTCCTTCCATTATCATTCCTGTGAGCAGTGCTTAGGATCAGGATCCGTTGGATCCGCAAGACTTTGGTTTCCTGGATCCGGATCCACAAAAATATCCGGATCCAACGGGCAAAAACATAAACCACATCTGAACTATTGAATAAAGAAAGATTATATAAATAAAACAAAAAAATTAAAATTCTGCTTTGTTAAAAAAAATCAGCTAATTTTATGGAAATAACCTGGATCCGGATCCATTTTTTCCAGTGCGGATCAAGGATACACATCAAAATTAAATGGATCCTAAGCACTGCCTATAAGTCATGTATTACTTACAATTTACAAATATGTTTTGCCGCAATCAGTGCAGCAGTTTTTGCTTTTTATAAACAATCAATATTTAATATTTTTATTTGATTTTTATGTTAAGATTTGTTCTAAATGTGTGACTAAAATCAAACTACCTTCTGACAATCTACGTGAGATACCAGTTTCCATTCTTACAAATCAATTGTGTAGTAATCAACATCCAGGTATATAGTCCCACTAAACATGAGGATTTAAAGGGATTGTTCACCCGTTTCAAATTGCTCAAAATATAACTAACTATGTCTTACCACTCTACAAGGTTGTATATTAAGGTTGGTTGCGCTCAAATGTATGAAAGATGTCGTCTCCTAAGCATAGATAGATAAAAACCTCGTGGCGTCACAGAGTATAGAGGCGAGAGTGACGTTTTTATCTATCTTTGCTTAGGAGACGACATTTTCCGTACATTGGAGTGGATCGAGAGTTAGCAACCTTATTATACAACCGTGTCACTCTAGGGCCCAGATTAATTTATTATTTTCACTTCTGTTTTCTTATTGACCGCCGGCTCAAATCTCGAAACACTGATTATAATTTCAAGTGGAACTAACCGCTTTCTGAACCGCGTCTAGACGCTGTTCAGATTCTTTAAATTCTGCCTCAGATCTAAAATGAAGTATAAATTCAAAATAAAAAAAACTTGTAAAACATCCTCCAAAACTAGCGCACAAGAGAAAAGGTTTAACCATGTCTTACTAATCTGGTCCTAGAGAGCAGATTTAATGAAAAGTGAGAAGAAGTTGAACCGCGTAGATGAAGTAAAACCACTTCTCGATTACTTGAACCGACTTACCAAATTAGTGGTTCAACCACCTCTCGCTATTTATTAAATCTGGTCTCATGGCTTGAATATTGTTTTTAAAATAAGTTTATTTGATAAAAAAAATATTTTTTATGTTTGTGTAGATGTCGAGGCAGAGTACTCAGTCATTCGGAGACTCTCAGTTCAAATAGGTCTTCCCACCAAACCCATACGCTCCGGCCTCTCCCCAACAACCACGCCCTCCAGACCCAACCCTACCACCCAGCACAGGCCGAGGCTGTTCCGTCAGCAAACCTCGCCGGATCTTAAAGGTTCTCAACCCGCCTCAACAGCCTCCAGGTTAGTTTTAGTGGTTTCGTTCTTTATCTCATCTCTTTGTTTTTTAAAGCCCCATTTCCAATACAAAACAAAGAATGAGAAATCTTTACAACCGGTCCAAATTTCAGATTTAAATAATACATTGCATCATATTATCCAAATATGGAAATCTGACTGAATGTTAGGTGTATATAAAGTACAATCGAAACTAAATAGTTCGACCAACCTCATATAATATGAGACAAAATAGCCGGGAAATACCAAAATAAAAGCAAATATATAATCAAACCGTCTACAAGCTATAAGACCTTTCTCCAAGCATGATTTAGTATCATTTATTTCAAGTTTGGGGAGTGGAAGGAGGGCACCCTGAAAATCTGATTTGATTTGATTTGTCATTTTTAAAAATGACAAAATAACATTAAATGATTGTATTGTAAACCATAACATTATATTTCAGTCCTGGTTCAGTATATACTACATACAGGGTGGCCAAAATGTACGGATTGTACGGATTTTTTATTTTGTAACCCTAAAATTGTACGGATTGTACGGATTTTTTATTTTGTAACCCTAAAATTGTACGGATTGTACGGATTTTTTTTCAAATTGAACGGATTGTACGGATTTTTATCCTGGAAATACACCGGTTTTTTTAATTTTCACTCATTTCAGCAAGTTTTTCATGAAAATTTCAAAAAAAAAATCTCGTCAAAATGAGGTCAGTTTAACTTATTTTCTGCATTCTAAATAATATTAGATTGATTAACGTTTTAATTGACAATCAAAATTCATTCATAATTTTCGAGATCCCGGAAGTGTTCATTTGAGAATATGTTCCAGAAGTGTTCATTTGAGAATGTGTTTATCTAACTGTCTATCTGTCTAGCTATCTGTCTAGCTAACTGTCTAGCTATCTGTCTAGCTATCTGTCTATCTA